GCATTTCAATTATTTACATTTAAATTACGAATGGTAAAGGTAAAAATGTAGGAGGAATTGACACTGATAACTGTGATTGTAATTTCATAAGTGTGGACAGTTGACAAAAAAAGAATTTTATTTTAGATTTATCTGAATGAAAAGTGTAACAAATTTTTAACAGCATATTTTATCACTGCATATATTAGAAAGGGGAGATTTGCTATTAATTATTCCAGTAATTACTGTAATTGTTTACTGAGTAACTATCATCTATAACAAAGATGAAGTGCTACTACAATAGTAGCAGCAACAACAACAACAATAACAACAAGCACAACAACAGCTACAACAATAACAATTACTACTACTAGTACTACTGCTACTGCTAATGATGCTACAATTGCTACTACTATTCTTCCAGTTCAATTAACTAACTTGCTAACTAACTTAACTAGCTAACTAATTAATTAACTAGCCCAGCAACTACTCCTACGACTACAATTATTCCTATTATCTGCTACATATAGTTGGTAATTTCGCCTTCAACGCTATTAACTATGTCAACTTGCATGAGTTTCAATGAATCGTTAATCGAGGAGACACGATTATATTATGCTAAGGTATGTGTGCTATTTCTTTTTGTCACCAAACTTTGAAAAGAATGTCACATTGAGCATACGACGTGACGCTCATCATTCTTTAGCGTCACATTTTTCAATTTAATTATTTCAAAAATGATTATTAGTTGCAACATTTCTACAATAAAAATTTTTCTATTTAACTTTTACTTTTATTTGACAAATAGACCATCAAATATACATTCCCTATATCCTCTTTAATAAGCTTTTATAATACAAAACAGAAGAAATAATACGAGAAATGAATGTTATTGATAGGAACTAGCAGTTCTAGTAACTCTCGGGATGCAGTAATAATACGATGAATTTTTAAAATTATTACATTTTACTAAAATAAATTACACAGATATTGAGATATTTTATACTTTTTTTTTTTTTTCTATTTTTAAATTTATATCATTTCATTTTTTTTTCCAAATTGGTTTTGTTAGCTGTTTTTTTTTTCCAAATTGATTTTGTTAGCTGTGGAAAAGATTCCCAGTGATAAAGAAATGTCATATATCGTATACTGTCACAATTATTCACAATGTTAACAAATGGAAATGATGATGTAAATTCAAAATTTATTCACTACATCTTTTCAATAATTTCAGTCAAAAAATTTTACAAACAAAATTTCATTATTATTTAAAAATCAGTTTTTTTTTTCCTTTTCTTTTTCTGTCCTTTAAAAAAGTAACAAAGTTTGAGTAAAGATAATTTAATTTTTTTTTCATAGTGATACATTTTACTGTCAACGAATAATTTCATTTTAGCTTACAATTAATTGTATTTGCATTTGAACATTTTACGCTGTAAATGACAAATTGAAAAGGAACAATAACTGAATGAGTAAATAATGAATGAATCATATATGCTAATAATTATTACTTACTTACTTATTATTAACCACTCTTTAGAAATCATATATCATTAGTTTAAACTTGCAATTTTTTTTTTTTATTTATCAACATTATCACTACATTATTTAACACAGTTTAAATGATAAAATTAATTTTTATTAAAAAATTATCAAATTCCTTTTTTTTTTTTAAAAAAAACACTCATCTTTTTGCATGCTTTTAAGGAAATGTTATTTGGATGAATGTTTAAATTTCATAAAGCATTTACTTCTCGGTTTCATCGTCGTACAAATAGTTAATCCAATGAAATAAAAAGTGCAATTTGAGGACATCAGTTAATTTTGAATAAAATTGAAAAAAAAAATACTTGAAAAATATGGAATTATTTGAAGAAATTAGCCTAGCAAGTAATAGGATCATGAAGAATTTAATATGAATTTTTATACATTTTATAATATAATCGATCTTGTCTTATGATG